CGTAGCCGGGCCCAAGACAGATATCAAGGTACGTGTCAGGTATAAGGTAGTGGCTAACTACATCTTAAAGTTCATAACGAAGAACGAGCCGGCCAGCGATGCGTTGAACCAAGTCCTGGAAATGTTGACCAAGGCACACCGAGGGATGAGCGCGGATGATCCTAGTGTCAAAGCATTGAGGAGGCTCCTCATCGGCGTCTGCTCTAGGAGTGTAACAGGCTGTTACTAACAGCTCAAGAAGTAGGTCACTACTTGCAAGGTCTACCCGCTACCCTATGCTCTCATACGCACTATGTCGGCAGCGTTGAACCCCAGATAGAACATCTGCACGTCAGAGACGGCAATTATACCACCCGTGTCATTCGGACTACTTTGGTCTGGTACCGATACCGCAGGAGCTTGAGGACCTTCCCTTTGTTGAAGCCGCCAGAAAAGTTACGCTACAAAAGTTGTCGGTGGAGAGCGACGCCAGCAGCGCATTATCGTCCGCATCTATCCAAATGTTGGCAAGACCTATACGGAGCACTCCTGTAACCAACGCAGTAGATAGGACAGAGGATAGTAAGGGGAGATATGACTAGCAATACTTAACTTAGTTACAAGTAGAAGAGAACAGCTTAGGGACGGGACACAATTGATCGACAGCTCCAAAGATAGGTGGAACAATCGGGACAATAGTAACACAATTGTTAACACTCCTGGCGAGTGCTCTGCCTAGGGTCTATTTCTCTATGCTCTGTCGAAGATTGCCTTGGTGGAAGCCCGTCATGGGAGGACAGAGCATCTCTCGCTTTAGCCGATGGAATTGAATTGGGCTGGAATCTTCGCTATGCTGAAGCTATACGGCGCTGGAGGAACGGGTCTCAGCCTGAGACTCTCAGGTGGACACAGGGGATGCCATATCAGACGTCGAAATTCCTTCATCGGGGTCGGAGTTATCGCTCGAGGAAGAAGCTGTTCAAGACGAATACATGCAAATCTTCGGCCCGGCCCATATCTTGGATCTTGAACGCGAGAGGCAGCGACTGCTGGATCAAGGAATGGTAGACTACGGTCGTGCAATAGGATTCCTAGAATCACTTGGAGGATTCGCTGTCAGCGAATCGCTGATCGAATTTCGATCATCTACAATATCTCAGCAGCGTAAGCGTTGATGCTTTGAATGAGGAACAGGTGGATGACTAGTGTCGACAGAGGCTCTCAGAAAACACATACGATGATGCGCCGTACTGTATGCTGCACAGAGTCGGTGGAACGGGAAAAAATCTACACAATACAGGCCCTGGTGAAAGCCTATATCGAAATGCACGGCCCCGAATGCTGTCCTACTATGGCCGTGACAGGCAAAACTGCTTGCCTACTGCCTCTGGGGCAGAATATTCACCGCGTTCTGAGCCTTCAAGTGCCTCGGTCTGACTCTACGTTCACGTCTCTCGAGGGACCTGTGTTGGCTGCACTACAGGCGAGGTCCGAGAGAGTTAGACTCGTAATTGTGGACGAGATCATCTCTTCGAGTTGCGCCTGGTGGGTTGTCGTCTCCTAGGGATGATCGACTCACATTTGCGACAGGCCAAACCACAAGGCGCCCATAGGGTTTTCGGGGGGCTTGTTGTGGTACTTTCTGGTGATTGGGGTCAACTTCTCCCCGCTCTAGATAAGCCTTAATATTCCACGAGTTCGACAGCCGACATTCGTGTCGTTAAGCATGAGAGACTTGCCTTCAGTACTGCCCGCCAGACCGTTTTCCCTGAGCAGATTATCCGAAGTTCGGATTCCGAACAACTGATGTCGCATTTCAACAATTTGTCTCCAGGCTGCGCGAATTGCGCAGCGGCGCTGCGGCAACGAGACGGTGGGCAACCTTACGACGATCACCCATTGTTCCCTGCAAGGCAAATGCATCAGCTGAGAGCTTGAACAGAAGGATTTCGAGGATAGCATAGTCCTCGCATCTAGCGGGAAAGAGCAGAAGAGGTCAATCGAGCATCGCTCCACAATCTTGCTGGGAGACTCGTGGACCTCAAAGCTTCACACTCGGGGAGATCGTCCCAAGAAGCAAGAGAAGAGCTGGCTCGTGGTCTCAGTGAAACGAGGCGCACCGGTGATGCTCGTCAATAAACTGTCTGTCTCCGAGGGTTTCACTAATGGCGCCGCGGGGCAGATAGTTGGGTTCTTGAAGGGGACTGCTTTTGGAGATCTACCTATCGCTTTCGTCGACATGCCGGCATACACAGGCCCGCCATTCAGGGAAGCTGACTCAAGAGTCCTTCCCATATGCCCAGCCACGAGGTCCTGGAATCTTGGAAGCAGAGTTTACTCTCGAACCCTGGTTCCACTCACCCTGGGGCCCAGAGGCTCTGGCCCAGAGCAGGGAATGGCGTCCCGTTAGACCTTAGAGTCGCGCACTCAATGAGAGATAAGTGGTATCTCGTCAATAGTTGTAGAGTACGGTGACTCCTCGCAGTATGCTTCACAAGGAGCAGATCAGTGGTCGCCGGTATGACTTCAAGGACGTCAGAGCAGCAAATCTTCTTATCGTATAGACCAGTGAACTTGTCCAGGGCGTCGTCAAGAAGCTCCAGACTAGTCATCCGTGGAACGGATCCTGGGACTATGTCATTTCTCACAGTGCCAGTGCTAGCCATTGAC